TGGCGTGGGAAAAGGCGGTTCTAGTGTTATTAGGAGGGTAATAAGCGTTACCTGCAAGATCGCTATTTTTATTATAATAATAATTATAATATAATTATTATAATATATTAATATTATAATTATAATTGTTTTCATTATTACTTTATTTTACTTGACATCACATCTTTAAATTCTCATCCTTGCATTAGAACGTAGACCAGTTAATACTGATCGATGGTATCTCATGCTGCGTCATGTTTTAAAATTACTACACACTGAATATTGAACTGAAGCTTGACATAAAAAAATTAAATCGCAAATCAAATCGCAATCGCACTTTCTGTCAGAAGAATCGCGATTCAATATTTTCCCCAAATCGTGCAGCCCTACATTTAACTAACGTTTAAGTAGCGCTACACTTATTTTGCGCATATAAGGCGTATTTTGATTGGATGAGCGCCAATGTCTGAATCACAACAAAATGCATATGAATGTCATTTATTGGTTACATTTGAAGGGCGCGAAAGGTGAAATAATAATAATGTTGCATTATGGAACGTTACATTGTGTGTCATGGATACTTTTCGCTCCAAATCTCCCGACCACTATGTCGATCTGAGACAGCAAGACCAAGACAGCGAGACCAAGACAAGACCGAGGGATCCGAGACCAAGACAAGACCAAGACCATATAACGTCGAGACTGTGAGAAGACCAAGACAGCGTAAAAGTGGTCTCGAGACATCCAACTCTAGTCTATGCAACTATATTTTTGCTTTGGTTGTAGACTAGTTGAGGTGTCATAGCTTCTACATCATACACATTTCAAGTATTCTCTGCTTTATGCTACTTTGCTTTCGCAAAAGACCTACATTAGCGCCTGTTTTTAACAAATTTACATTTACTGCATTTGGCAGACACCCTTAGCCAGAGCGACTTATATAAGTGCTCAGAAGTCTCATCAGTGAATACATTCTAATACTGGTTCAATAGAACCTGGCTAAGAATACTATCACTCTAAAAAATCTGTTGGCAAGTAATAAATTTTTTTTCTTTTAAATAATTATGAGTATAATCCTGAAAGTGCTAATCCAGGTATTTCCGAAAGAGGTAGGTTTTTAGTCGTCGTTAGAAGGCACCCAGTGACTCAGCTGTTCTGATATCTAGTGGAAGTTCATCCCACCACATAGGTGCCAAAACAGAGAAGAGTCTTAATGCATGTCGTCTTTGAACCTTGAGAGATGGTGTGACCAGTTGAGCAGCGCAGGGTGAGAAGTTCTTTTAGGTTTGAGGGTGCTGTACTATTTTTGGTTTTGTAGGCAAACATCAGTGTTCTGAATCTGATGTGAGCAACTACAGGAAACCAGTGGAGGGAGTGTAACAATGGTGTGCTGTGGGAGAACTTGGGAAGGTTGAAAACGAATTGGGCAGTTGCCTTCAGGATCAGTTGCAGAGGATGAATCGCACTCAGAGGCAGACCAGCTAGGAGTGAGTTACAATAGTCTAGTCTCAAGATAAGAGATTGAACAAGTACCTGCGTGGCCTGCGTGGAAAGAAATAGACTAACCTTTCTGATGTCGAAGAGGAGAAATCTACAGGAGCAGGAAAGATTAGCAATGTGAGACGAAAAGGACAGCTGATTGTTTATGGTTACAGGCGGCAACCGAAGGACAAATCATAGAGTTGTCCAGGGAGATCACATGATCCTAGTGTGGGGATGGATCAGCTGGGATGAATAGCAGTTCGGTTTTGCTGCGGGTAAGTTTCAGCTGATGAGCTGTCATCCATGATTAGATGTCTGCCAGACATGCAGAGATTCAAGTGGAGACTTTAGTGTCTGAAGGAGGAAAGGAAAGGATGAGTTGGGTGTCGTCTGCATAGCAGTGATGAGAACCCATGTGAGGATATGACCTCACCTACTGTAGATCTACTGTAGAGGGAAAACAGAAGAGGATCAAGAACTGAGCCCTGAGGGATACCAGTGGAGAGGCTATGTGGACTTGATGTGTATCCCTTCCATGTCACTTGATATGACTGGCCTTCTAGGTAGGAAACAAACCATTGCCATGCTAAGCCACAAATTCCAAGACTCATAAGTATGGACAAGAGAGTCTTGTGGTTGACTGCATCCAATGCTGCTGAAAGGTGAAGGAGGATGAGGACAGATGACAGTTTGGCTGCTCTGGCAGCATGTAGCTTCTCAGTGACAGCCAATCTCTGTGGAATGTGCAGCTTTGAAGCCAGATTAGTTCGAATCATGAAGGTTGTTCTGAGAGAGATAGAGAGACAACTGATTATAAACTGTGTTTAAGAAATTTTGAAAGAAAGGGAAGTCCTTAATGTGTAGTAGATGGGGTGAGAGAGAGTGTCTGACAGATTTGATCTATCTTCTCTTCAAAGAAGTTGGTGAAGTCTTTGGCGGTCAGGGAGGATGGAGCAGGAGTAGTTGACTTGTAGAAAGAAGTCATTGTAGCAATCAGATCAGATGAGAATTTGGACAAGAGTGTGCTGTAAGAAGACAGATCTGTGTCGAGTTGTGATTTATTCCACTACCTCTTAGCTGCTCTTAATTCTATTTGATTGATATGTAATGCATCCAATAGCCAAGGAGCAGGGTGAGCTGTTTTCCTTGGTTTGAAAGATAGTGGGCAGAGGTGATTCATGGATGAAGTAGGAGAGGAGAGTGTCAGTTGCTGACTCCAGTGGTACGGAGGAAAAGGAGTCAGGGTCCGGAAGGTATGATAGAGTGCAGGAAGAAACAGATGAAAGGGAGACAAAGCGGAGGTTTTGTTGAGTGGGGGAGAAATATTCATAGCTGGGTTTAGGCAGGGTTAGTTAGGATCATTCTAAAGGATACAAACTTATGATCAAAGAGGGGTAGCAATAATGTTAGAAGCTGGAGAAGGATGGCTGAAGGCCAGGTCCAGGAAATTTTCTCCTTTTTGTGTGGGAGAGTAGTTGTTGGATGTCAGAGAGAAGGAATAGAGAAGAGGGAGAAAGCAGAAGGAATGGAGCTTATTGAGGATTGAATTCTCCAAGAAGAGTGAGAGGGAAGAGACTGAGCAGTGCATCTATTTCTCCAAGAAAGTAATCTAATGGACCAGGAGGGTGGTAGATGAAAACGATGAGAAGGTTGATTAGAGAAGAAACTAAAACTGCATGGAATACAAAGGATGAGGTATTAAGATGGGACAGAGAGGGGAGTCTAACACCAATTTCGAGACAGCAGCAGACCTGTACCTCCACCCCTCTCAGTTTCTCGTGGAGTGTGAGAGAAAGCATAAACAGAGGAGAGAACTGCCAGTGAGTTCTGTGGGGATATCCAGGTCTCAGTTAGACCCAGAAAGTCAAGAGAGTGATGGGAGGCAAGGGCAGAGATGAAATCAACCTTCTTTACAGCAGACTGACAGTTCCAGAGCCCACCTAACACCCTTGTCCGAGACTTGGACAACAGGGGAGGGTAGGTAAGGTTGCTGGTGGTACGGCCTCTCGATTGTGGATTGGGTCTTCTGGGTATAAGAAAAATATGAGGATCGAGAGGTTTGAGGCACATGCCTGCAGTTCGGATTATGGCTGAAGTTTAAGTATAACTAATAGAGCTCTAACAGAGCTGGTAGCTAATTGCGCAAGAGGGAAAAGATGCCAGGAAGGGAAAGAGGAAAATGATGGCAGGAAGAGGAAGGATGCATGTCTGTGGCAGATACACCTTCAGTATATCTTACTAAGCCCTGCCCTTACGGGAGTCTGAAACTACCATTGATTAGTTACCTGAGAGAACTAATTGGCATAGACTAGCAAACACTTCAGAGTACTACAAAAACAGCAATACTAGTGGCTTTAATCTAGTTCCAACTGAGTCTCAGAGATCATAGCCAAAATACCGATTCCTACCTTAGCAGCAGAGAAAAAATAAACATCGGACAAGCGTGTTTTTCTGATTTCAGCTGTCCGCGGACAAGTGCAGTTTTCTGGAGAGAAAAAGAATTGTATGTGCTGTGCAGGGCACATTTTTACCACTACTTTCAAATTTTAAACATTTGGGTACGTACTTCGTGCAGAAACAGTCTACTTAGACATGTTCTTCATGTCTCAAATTGGTCTTCAATATTGTTTACAAAATCACGGCTGATTTTTCAAAGGGGAAGCACTCTTATGGTGTTACATAAGTATGTTACCCTACTATACTCAGCAAAAAAAGAAACGTTCCTTTTTCAGGACTGTGTATTTCAACAATAATGTTGTAAAAATCCAAATAACTTTACAGATCTTCATTGTAAAGGGTCTAAACAATGTTTTCCATGCATGTTCAATTAACCATAATCAATTAATTAACATGCACCTGTGGAATGGTCGTTAAGACCTTAACAGATTACAGAAAGTAGGCATTTAAGGTCACAGTTCTAAAAACGCAGGACACTAAAGAGACTTGTCTACCGACTGTGAAAAACACCCAAAGAAAGATGCCCAGGGTCCCTGCTCATCTGTGTGAACGTGCATTAGGCATGTTGCAGGGAGGCATGAGGACTGCTGATGTGGCTAGGGCAATAAATTGCCATGTCCGCACTGTGAGACGCCTAAGACAGCGCTACAGGGAGACAGGAAGGACAGCTGATCATCCTCGCAGTGGAAGACCACGTGTAACAACACCTGCACAGGATCGGTACATCCGAATATCACACCTGCGTGACAGGTACAGGATGGCCACAACAACTGCCCGAGTCACACCAGGAACACACAATCCCTCCATCAGTGCTCAGACTGTCCGCAATAGGCTGAGAGAGGCTGGACTGAGGGCTTGTGTGTTCCTGGTGTGACTCGGGCAGTTGTTGTGGCCATCCTGTACCTGTCACGTAGGTGTGATATTCGGATGTGCATGTTAATTAATTGATTATGGTTAATTGAACATGCATGGAAAACATTGTTTAGACCCTTTACAATGAAGATCTGTAAAGTTATTTGGATTTTTACAACATTATTGTTGAAATACACAGTCCTGAAAAAGGGACGTTTCTTTTTTTGCTGAGTATATTTACACGCTTGGAGATGCAGTCATTTTTTTCATGCCAACATTACGATGTAATCTGATGATTTTTCATTATAATCGATAACTTTTTTATATTATTGGTATGTTGTTATATATTGAGGAGTTAAGAAATGTATTGCATGACAACATCAATTTTGATGAGCTGTCTAACCCATAATGCACTGCGGTAAGCACGTTTTTCTCGCTATATGCATCGCGGATGAGAAATGAATCGTTTCTTGATTAAAACTGGCACAACAGGCCCTGAAAAACCTGACAATGAGGGAAAGAAAAGAAAAACAAAAACGGAATGCTCAAAATTGCAGGTCGAGCTGTCTGACATGAGCTGTAAAGTGATTTTAGCTCCCCCTTCAGGTGTGTACTCCATGTCCATCTCAGAAGATAAAGGTCTGGGTGAGGAGGTAGGCAGGCTGAAGGCCAGGGACCCAGACCTTGGGGAGAATGGCTTGGTGACATACAGTCTGATTGAAGGCAACAGCATGGACGTCTTCGAGATTGTCACAGACTCGGGAACCCAGGAAGGCATCATAAAACTGCAGAAGGTGAGGATCATGGAGGGGCAGATGATTGAACAGCTTTACAAATCATTCTCCAATGAATGGATTTATGAGTAAGTTGTTTGGTATTGAATTAAAGATAGATTTATCAAAACAAACATTTTACACATAAATAAAAAAAAAAGTTGTATTATCACAACTTCAACACATTTTGTGGCATATTACCTCATACAGGGGTATGTGTTTTCACACACAGGTATCAAACATATGAAATACAGTGGTACCTCAGAACTCGAAATTAATCCGTTCAGAACTCCGGATCGAATCCTAAAAACTTTGAGTTCTGATCAACTTTTCCCCATAAGAAATAATAGAAAACCAATTAAACCAAAAAATTACACTGAAATATGTTTTTTTTTAGCATTTAAACACAAAATGAACCAGACAAAACAAAAAAAGCATATACTGCACTAAACACATCTAAGCACATTTATCAAAACAGTAATTCTTAAAGTAAGAAAATAAATGTATCCAAACAATGTTAAAAAGAACAACATGTCCTGCCCCGATCGTCCGCTTCTTCCGTGTGCCATGCCCCCTTGTTAACCTCATGTAGAATCCCCATGTGATCAGCTCTTTCTGGTTGTTGTCATTAGTCCTCTGTATTTCGTATTCAGCTAGTTTAAACATGCACGATGCTATCACAGCGAATGCGAGGCTGAGACTGAAGCGTTTCCGCTGAGAGACGTGCCCTGTGACTCATTTCCCCGCAAGCTATCTTAGGTCGGCGTTCACAGTTTGACTTCTGAGATTCAGATTGAGTTATAGGTAATTTTTTTTCGAACTGACTGGTTCGACTTTTAAGAAATTAGAGTTTTAATGAGTTAGAGAACTGAGGTACCACTGTACTAAATATTTGTACAATAATGTTGCACGGTACGCTTCAGTTGTCTCTGCCTGGTAATTTGCTCTCACGTCTTAGTTCTCTTGATTGTTCATGTTAATGAAGGTTAGATGAATCTCAAGTAAATATTACTTGTTGGCTTGCCATTTTGTTAGAGGCATTAACATCAGTTGGTTAAGTTTCAGCCTCATTTTGTAAATGGATTAACACACTGGTTTTAGTACAAGACACAAACTGTGTCATGCTTAACTAGCCACATGGATTTGTTCAAAAGCAACATGATTCGCATTTTTTAACGCATCTGTTTTTTAGATTCCTGAACTTTTAAAAAATAGGTTTGCAATTATGTTTTCTGTTTGTAGATAATCAGGGTGTTGAGACATCGTGCATCTCTTGTAAGAGGCCATGCAAATGTATCTGCCCGAGGGAGTTTCAGTCTAAGTGTCATCAGTATTGCTATGCAGTGTCCATCTGTGAAATTTGCACAGCAGTTATTATTACAGTAATTAATATCAATGTAGGTTAATTGAAAGAAAGGCTCAAAAACAGTTTCTACACTGACATAACATTCCTACTCAGTAAAAATAAAATTTTGCTTAAACAAAATGTTTAAAACATACAGTTAATTTAGTTCCTTTAACAAATGTATATAGTTCTAGTGTAATTAAAACATAGGGTGCCATAGCTATTAGACTGGACAGCTAGGTTTTTATTATTATCTATTATTATCTAGGCTGGTTAACATAAATAACTACCTTTATTTTTTTTGTAAAGAAAATGTTTATAATAAGCTTGATACTAGTGTATAGTATAGTAAGTATAGTAAAGGATGGATAGATGTATGCATGTATAGTAAGGTCTAGAAATGCACATAAAATACTCCATGGAATAGAACCACGTGAAGCATGGTGGTGATCCAAAGACAGCTGGGAGTTTAGAGGTAAGGCTTAAGTTGTTGCCTGCACAGAACACAAAATAACATTAACTGGTAACTTAGATTTTAGAGAACTAACGATACATTCTAGAACTTTTAAAAATTATGTTTGCGAATATGTTTTCTGCAATGAGTTGGCACCCTGTCCTTGGTTATTCCCTGCCGTATGCCTATAGCTTCCAGGATAGGCTCCCAACCTCTGTGACACTGCAAAGGACAAGTGGGTATAGAAAATGGATGAATGGATGGATTCGTTTTCAATTTAGTTTTCTTTTAAAAAAATAAATTAAAAATGTTCATTTCAGGCTGCTCTTTTTGTTCCTTAAATTGGTTGGTTTGGTTCCCTGATTGAAAGGGGTAGTATTGAGAGGTGGAAAAAAATAATTTCAGACAATATATAATAAGGTGTTGTGTGTATAAGGAACACAAGGTGCAGAATCCAGCACTGTTGATTTGTCAAATGCCAGGACTGAGCATGTAACTGAAAGACATGCAGCTGTCTCCACCTGTGTCAGCATACAAAGGGGTGGGTGAGGGGGAGGGAGGGGGGGCATTATCACATTCATGCTGAATACAATAACTTTGATGCCAGACTGCTGTGCTCTGCAACAACAGCCTTTAGGTACACCTCTCACTATTTAATTACCCCTCACCGCTCAAAGTAAGGTAAAAATTAGAGTTGAAATTACTGACAGATTTGCTGAAGTTTAATCAAGTATTCAGTCTGAGCCGCAGGCAGGAGGCGCCGCTGGAATCTTAAGAGGCAACCTGACATTATTGTGGACGTTATCTGTTGATGATTAGTTTTAGCTATCAAATGATTTAGTGGCAGAATATAAGACTTAGAAGGTGACCTGCACTGTCTGGAGAACAGAGAAGAGAGAGCTTGTATTTCAGTGTTTGGCAGCTTCATTGAAATAATGTATATATATATATACACACACACACACACACACACATATATATATATATATATATATATATATATATATATATATATATA